AGAAAATCGCGACTGAAATGGATTTCATACTACATTTACGACTGTTTATGACGAGCATATGAGGAAGTGCCAAGAAGAGGCTAATTCCTATCAGAGTGCAGAATGATTTGCACAATCACAATTGGTACAGCTGAAGGGATAAAACGGCGTTTGCACCGCTAAAAACTTGTTTTCGGATGGTAGCAAAAAAGATTAAAGCTCCGCCGATGATTGAACCTCTTCTGGGGTGCGCACCGAATTCTGCCTTCAACAAGAATTATAAGAGACTTGAAACACTTGAACGAGATTTGGCAATCACAGTGAGTTACAGGTCGACCGGGACATGAGATGAAAGAAAGTGGTATACCTCCGTTTTGAAGTTGATAAGATCCCTGCCGCATTTGACCTCCTGGTACCGCAACTGGCTCAGAAAAATCCGCGATCTAATGGAATCTATGTGAGAAGAGAAAAATAGTATTGAGTAAACCTCCACAACAACAGCAAAACCACAAACTTCGTTCAGAATCCGATCAAACAGTGGATCGATCGACTCAGCTCCTCTACTTCCTTTCTCGGCGATAATCGAACGAAGGCGGGAATGTGTATGCGGTCCACCGGCGAGAGCATTCACCTGAAAAAAAACCCCTTGCTGATTGCGGACGAGTGATAGTGATTAAGCGTGAGCCCGTGCTCCCACGAGAATGGAGTAAATGTTCAGTTCACAAAGCTTTCTAAGCAAGCGCATCGTAATACTTGTTCAACTGACCATTTCTGACCGAAGGGCCGCTTCACTAGATGCACCACAATTTGTAAGAAGAACAACCAATTCGCATAAAAGCCTGAAAACATATATGAACTTTTCTGAATGAAAACGTGAGAATCATTTTTGAATAAACATCAGAGCAAAAACTGAAATGCTGTTTTGTATTCTTTAAAAAAGTGCAGGAACACAGTTGGGGATGGGAAGCTTCACCTACCGATGACCTTTAGCGCTCCTTTTTCCACATACTGAGCCAGCACAACCCTAATGTGAAGTATTTAGGTGCAACGTATGATCGCCAATCGACGCCGTGCATATACTCTTCTGCAGATAAGTCCCTCTTCCTAATAAATCTCTTGACCCTGCATTTGGAAATAAGAATAGATCGGTGAGCAAAGAGGGTCTGTCAACGTCTGTTCTTTTGTAGTTCATGCATTCTTAGACACTTCTAAGAGATCTGACGATATTTCTTCATTTGCAGAGGCAGGTTTCGCTGTAGGAGATTGCCAAGATACTGAGTGACTCACTTTTTTTTCAAAATTTGGTATAATCCCCTTCGGTGTGCCGGGAAAATAATGTAGAACAGTGGAAATCGTAGTTTTATTAAACAAATGAGAATTTACCGTAGAGCTGATGCTACCATTGGGTCGACCCATTCCATTCTGGTTATAACATCGGCATGATCTTCGTTGAAAATATATCCTAACTCGGACAACAACTGCACATCTTCCTCCATGGGTTCTATCCTAAATCCAATGCTCCCAATTAAATCAATTGATCCACATAAAAAATAAAAGGCGAAAATGGATGAAGAATGAGAACAAAATGAGATGCATACGTTGACGGATCCGTAGAGGTAGCAAGGTTCTCCACTGTACGTTGTTTGAGAGCGGCCATGAACTACATCAGCCTTTCCCTAAAAATGCAAACTATCAACTACTACGGTTGATCAAAAAATTATCGGTATTAGTTTTCTGAGTTTTCTGGTCCTGTCGATTGATAAGGTTGCTTTCATACTTTGCGTTGGCGTCGAATGTGCAGAGTGAGGTGTAGACTACTGCCGTAGCCTGCGCTCCAGGGCTCTAAGGCTCACAAAAGATAAAATGAAATGCTCATGGATACATATAAGGGCTTCCACAGAATAGTTTACGTACAAGGAAAAACCAGGTTCATGACACATCACATAATTCCCATGCTACAGGGACAGCAAACAGCGTGGCTCGCATGCAAACAATCCCAGCGCTCATTGTTATTATAAAGAAATAGAATCAAATAGGAAAAAGAACAAATGCTAAGTTCATTACCGGAGGCAGATCCTTGAGAATGACTTTAATCTTCTCCGCGCATTTTTCCCAGTTTGCATCAGCGACTTCATCGGGTGTGGAGCGACCAGTGCCTTAAACATTCTTTCTTTGAAGGACCACCAAATTCAAATTCTGATCATCCAGAACCAGCATACATACTGAGCTGTCATCATTATTAAATGCATTTCAGTAATAGAACTCCGATAATTCAGAAAACGAACCACACTCCTTTGCTGTTTTGACGGAATCTTCCGCATCGCTCAGGTCCATGCTGGTGTCAGAACCGACCCCTTTGTGGATAATTGCAAATCGGAATACATCTACCAGGTGGAAATTGTGTATCAGAGCATCCATGAACCAGTCTGGATCCACATTAGCAGCACAGTACCTGTAAAAGGCAAAAAAGCTTTATAGCGCAGTATGACCGATCAGGAGGCCTATGTTGCACCATAGCGCAGAATCTAGGGCTCCACAGCGTGTGCTGGCCCAGAATCCTTGCATCCTGCAAACATATGCATCCGACGCCACTTGCTACAGTGCTTTCATGGCGATATTGCCACGTGAGCATCCTGAACGATTGCTGCGGCTCGAACTGCTAAGTACCTGATCAAGTCGATGTCGGGCGTTTGAAATGAGGTATTGATATGAGGTTGTGCGTAAATGATGGCTTGTACTCGTAGTTGGTTACCATTGCGAACCCACAGCCCAGCGTAATACTCGGCGCGTGCAACCTGAAAATTCAAAATATACTACCGCGAAGAAGTCATCTCATCTCCGTGACACGACTCATGACTATGCGTTTCTAGAAGTGGTGTTTAACAGACCAGCATTGTGAAGGCACAACACAACTCTGGGGCTGATATGACACAGCAGTGTCATAAAGGGGCTATACTCTGAACAATCCGAACGGTCTCCCAAAACTTTTTTCACACTGAAATTCCAAAATTGGGCTTAATCTCACTTAACCTCAGTCTGTGATGTAGGAAAGCTCTGAACTTGACAGCTGAATGTAGCAGGTGGAGCTTGTGGAAAACGGTCTTTTAAACCACAAGGATAACCAGACCGATGTAACATCGCTTATTCATTGAAGCGACAGTCCCAGTCAGGGTTTTTACCTTCGACACTAATGCGTGGAACGTTGCGCTAGCCCTAGTCAAGAGCATAAGAAGTGTGATTGAACAAAAAACTCACCTTGGAAAGCCGCTGGAAAGGAGCTGAACGGCTTCGAAGTGGGCGTGGTTGGCCGAGGGGATTGCAGCCGACTGAGCAACCACGCCCACTTCGAAGCCGTTCAGCTCCCTTTCTAGCGGCTTTCCAAGGTGAGTTTTTTGTTCAGTCACACTTCTTATGTTCTTGACTAGGGCTAGCGCATCGTTCCACACCATTAGTGTTGAAGGTAAAAACCTGCTGGGACTGTTGTTTTAATGTGTTTGCTCGTTTGAACAACACCAATATTAAGGCGCTAGTTCTACAAACGTTGAAGTATTCGGACAATACTGAATCTATGGAGCGCAGAGCACGTAACCAACTACTTGTGTGCGCCTCACCTGGATCTTCAGCGGATGCAATAGAATTCTACGAAGAAGTTGCTCATCCTTTCGAAAGTCTTCCACATGCTTACGAAATAACTCCATATCATTGAAGTGCGTCAATGCTGTTGAGAGATGCCTTAAACAGGAATACGAAAGGTGAACGACATAGAATTGTAGGTAAAATTTCACCTGTGTAGCGGTAAATGGAAGGAAACGCAATACTTCGGACACGTCAACACTTCTCCATTTGCCCACCCGCCAATAACGTGGAGCCATTCCTAAAAAGCAAGTACTACATTTTCAGTACTGCATTTCGAGGGTGACGAGGAATTTTTTAATGGTACCGAAAGGGCTGCCATAATTTTGTCGAAAAATGCAACAGCCGCCACGTAATGTTGCTGTTGCGTGATGGCGCTAATGAAGTTGAACATAGTGAGCGCGAGGGCTTCGAATTCCAAGGTGAATGACCTACAAAAAGAGAATAACATCAACGAAACACACAACAACTACAAGAGTCGCATTATGATCAGTACAGCTTCTCCTCAAACAACAGGAAAACTTCATTCTCGAACTCAATCCTACTCACGGGTTCACGAACTGCCTCACCCTCCTTCATTGGCTCGCTTTTCCAAATTTCAGTAAGGTCGTCAATGACTTTTTGTTTGGAGATCGGCTATCTTGAGAATGAGGTCGTTAAATGTAGCGAACAATTTCAAGGCCTCGAAACCGCTTATGCCCTAATGCAGAAGTGACCGCATTGAAAAGAGCTGTTCAAGGAGCGCAGCACGGTTAAAAATTCAAATCAACAACTGTCATCTTCACTAGTGAAAGGAGATTTGCTAAATAAGTGTAGGATTAAAAAAGCTTGGAGCAAATTCCTTACCGTTGGACGAGATCAGTGTTGTCATTTTCCCTATGTTCGCCGCGGATGATACGCCAATTCACGTTCATTCCTAAAGCAGATAAGTGATTCACCCTAACATCAAATAGTAACTTGTATTAAATAAAAAATAAGATGTTATTGCTGAAAACCTTGCATCCTTTTCAGAAGTGTCACATAGGTGTGAGAAAATGCCGTTGGATGAAGTACTGTATTTATGGCCAACGAAGAATGGGCTAGTAGATTCTGCATATCTCCCATTACGAACCAGTATCCATGTTGTGTCATTGTCTAGAAAGCATAACTATATGATGAAGAGTGGATGGACCCCTGACAGATTTGGAAGAGGTTAGGGCTTCGCTTCATGTCACTTATTTTTTGTAGCC